AAGAACATTTAATTTAAAATTGTTGTGATATCAATTTCTTGTACTTTTTACTTTTTATTAAAATCAGACAAATAAGGATTCTATGACAAGATTGTAATTATGGAGACTCCACTTCAACAGCTAAAGGTCAAGGCAATCTTTTTCATTTTGACACATTTCAATTAACTTGAAAACATAAAATAACCTACTTGAGGTATATAAAAAATAAAAGTACAGATTATATTGAAAGGGGCACTGTGTTAACAAAAAAAAACTCTTTCAAAATACAATTCCACACATATCCTATATTTGTTCAAATCCAGGACCCTGAGTAACATGAAATAACTTTTAAATACCATATCTATCAATTTTAAGTGATTCAATTAAGTTAATTTAATTAAAATTAAATTGTTGAGAACCGAAAACTGGTATGCAAAGAAAGTTTTCAAAAAATTAAAAATTGTTCATACTATTGATACAAAGAAATAGTATTTTTAATAAGTATTAGATTCATTTGTTTTAATAAATTCTCTGATTTGCAAAACAATCAACTATCCCTTATAGCTGAAGTTGTAGTATATTTGTAAGTTATTATAATGGATTGTTTATGACATCAATATTAACCAAATGTTGCAAGCACATCTGTATCTTTAATTTCAAGTCATATATTTTAATTACATGTACCCCAACATCTAACTGTCTAATTATAGATATTGTAAATGTACTTGTTTACACTTTCAAATGGCATTTGTTTACTAAATACATATAAATGTGATTCCTGCCAGTTATCAAAGAACTCCTGAGTAACACATTTTTCTTGACTTGAAATTTATCATTTTGACAGATATCTTTGTAGAATATTTTAAAATCAGGTCACCTTCACATTCACCTTCCACTTAAAATTCATTATAGCTTCAAAAAATATACTCGTAAGGGCCTAAAAACAAGACACCAAAATACAAAATTCATTTGATTTTATCATGCACAAAAAAATATATGAAATGTTTTTACAAAAAGGAAAATGTTTTGCATTGACTTTTAAACATTTTAAATACACAATCTTCTTCATTCATTTTTTTGAAAACATGACACCAAAAGATGCATCTTTTTGTCAACTAGTGGCTCAATTTTGATAATCATGTTGACTCAAATTTTCTAAATGTGACTTGCACCATAATAAAAATTACTTTTCAAATTCAGGATTTGAAAATATGCCTATCAATTTAATATCTAGGTATTGTTGAAAAGTTATTGTTAATCATTTTCTCATTGATCAATGATGGGTATTTATAATTTATAGCACCTAATTAAAAGTGTAATTAGGCTAGTATTGGGAAGCTAAATTGTTTTTGTCATATGGACAACATATATTTTGAACATGTATTAGGGTTGAAGGTTGCAGGTCTATTGACAAAAAATACTGATTTGTAGTCTCCCATTCTGAGAAACTTATATATAAGCATTTGTAAGGATGATTACCTCAACATGAATTTTGAATTTTAAGGATCCTGAAAATGATGATTTTGGGCATTTTCCAAACTCAAAAAGAGCATGTATTAACGAATAACATACTAAGAATCACAGTTCTTTCATTAATCAAATATATAACTACAAGGTTACATTAAATCATTTGGGTCAATAAAATTCAAGGTCACATTTATGGGTCAAGGTTAATATATAAATGTAATAAACAACACAATTATAACAATAAAAAATGTGCGTAAATAACAAACAATTCTAATACCTTGCATATTAGTTGTTGTTTTACGGATTTTAGCAATAACTATCTTCAAATAGTTAATGACATTTTGAGTATCTATATAATTCCTCGTATAGCGATATTTACTTTCCTGCTGCATTATGTCGTTTCCTTATAAAATGTCCCTTATCTGATAGGTAAACAGGAAAAATGTCACTGTACTATGTAGATTGCGCTCAAAGTTAATCCTTTTAGAATTTACACCTGTGAACAACTTAACAAAATCTGGTTACATGAGAAAACTTGATAAGGTTCAAACTTTAATAGCTCATTTGATATATTCAATATTTTGAATATTTGCTCATTTTGAATTTTATTTATTTTTTGATTTATAAGTTTTCCTTTCCACTTCCTTCTTCACGTTCAAACATTCCTTCAGACTTTGTTTTCATATAGTAACTACATCTTTAATATTTAAAATCCCTTTCCTTATTCAATATGGTGATTTTTACAAAACCAGACAAAATCCTCTTTCATTTTGTTTTATCCTATATCCTCTTGTAATCTCATTAACATTTCTCTTACATGACAACACTTCATACAAATAATCTTCACAATTATCTGATAACAACAACATTGAGGTTCCGGGGCTCACATCAATCTAATTCCATCAATTTGAGTCATTTACTTTATGGCAGAAAACCTGGTTCGCTTTAGTAACAGTGAAGTGCTGATGGACCACAATAACTAACAGATAGCAAATCAAATACACAGATAAATTCCCTGAAGGGCCTATAAATAAGAACTTTACTGCGAGTTAATTATTATGATATTCCTGTAATTTGTTATCTATTACTAACAACAATATGTAATGATGATTGGCTAAACATTTTACATTATTCATTTAAACTTTGTAGACGGGACTTTCTTGTTCCTGTTAGCATTTCCACAGTACTATAAACTGGTCAAAATTCAACTGACAAAACAAACAAAACAGACAAAACTAACAGAAATGTTACAAATATAGGCACTGATTTGTATAATTATGTCATCCTTCAAAATCAATGAGAAAAAAAATTAAACATGTTAAAAGCCCATCGTTTAATTTTGAATTTTTATGTTCTATGTTGTTTATTTTAAAGAAGACCATACAGGGAAAAGGTCTGGTTAGTCTGGATCCAGGGAGCCATAGATAAAATCCTTTTATCTTTCATGGACATGGGATATTCTACAACATGAAAAGTTTGTGTTTTGTTGAGCTTGATGTGTCATTCTATGACTATTGATACCTTTAAGGAGACAGAGTTCATATGCCTGTATATAACTTTCATGTTTCAGTCAACCTTGATCAATCACATCTTGTGCAATACAGCATATATTATACTCGAGAAATTCTGTATTGGCACGAGACGAAGTTGAGTGCCAATACAAAGTATCAAGAGCAGAATATCTGTATTGCACTTCAAATCATTCTATAACATTTTTATGGAGAGTAAACCTGTGCATACTTGGTGTAAATATAGCTACGCCACTGCCAGTTGCAATACAGATTGGCACAGCACAAGAACTGACCAATCAAAGGGCTTCATTTTACAGATCATACAATAATAGGATGTACAGTTTAACCAATTTTTCATTTTCTTTGCGGGTCTAATTTATAATACTTGCCCTAAAACACTGTTCCTTGTTCCTTATTGAAAGGAATTCTTACTGTCTTACTATCTATAAATTCATAAAATCAATCAGATTTGAACTGATGCTCTGATCACTTGGTTGTGTAACGACCCTTGATAGCAAGTTGCTACTACGGCCCAGCTGTAGTGGCTTAAGCCTTTAGAGCTCAGTTGGTAGAGCATCAGTCTTTGGATCCAAGGGTCGTAGGTTCGATTCCCACATGGGGCATCAAATTTAGCACACTTTCTTTCAATTTTTTATCTGGCTTGATACACTATGCTCATTAATTTGTCATTTCCCTTGGGTGCCCTGAAGTCATTACAGTTGTTTTGAAATATATTTTATTAAAGATCAAAACTCATTATAGAAATTCTGAAGTGAAAAAATGGCAGCAAAACATGGGAATCAAAACATTGCTCCATGTAGATATTATGTAAAAGTCATGAGAGCCAACTTCATTGAGTGACAAATTATGTGTGTCAGAACCTATAATAGAGCTCAATGGGAGTTTAGCTGGAAGACTGTAGAATCATGACCTGGATATGTTTGCACATTTCCAGTCTGCTCTGAATGCTGATGAGATGAATGAGTTTTTCAATTCTGGTCTCAGTCCACACTAAAAATGTGTATTGTCCAAACTATATTCCAATTAGAAATGCTTACTTTGCCTACAAGGGGTCAGTCTGTAAAATTGGACTAAATCTGATGAATGCAGATTGGATGGAACCATGGGGCTTTAAAGAGAAGCCCATGTCTGAACTTTGTTCTGGGGTTTTCACACTAAATTAGTTTAGGCGTGCCAAGGAAAATTTGGAAAAAAGTATGAGGACTGAAAATCCGAAATGTATCTGTGAAAGACGAGGCTCTAAATATTCAGAGACATTGGCCTGATATAATATGTACACATTTATCCAGGAGCAGGACTATCGTCTATACTATAGTCCTGGCACTGGATTATTACACAGGTGGGTGATAATTTCTCAAAAAGTGCTAAATAAAGGAAAGTGCTGCATCCCCCTCTGTACACATTTTAATGCCAGTTTGATTGGTACCAAATTAAAATTAACGGTGTGAAAAATAAGAATATGTGTTGTGGATCAGGTTCTTACATAAGGATATTTATTATGCAAGGAATTACATAACCGCCGTTCTTTGTTTTTTTCTCTTTTCTAGACTGCTGAATTTGCATTTCAGTTTCTTATTGTGATAACAATATGCATGCATAGGCCATGCAATATGAAAATTTTGTCCTATGATTAATAAAGATGATTTTTTGTGATTTAATTTACAAACTTTTTCTTTTATTCCATCTGCTTGCAAGACAAAACTTTTCATATGGTACCAAATATGTATGGGGGTGCAGGCGCAGCCCTTCACCTACCCAAATGTCATCCGCATTTGAGAATTGTGAGTGTCAGAATAAAAACATTAAATCATGCACAGCAGCATTTTATTACATAAAATAACAATGGCAAATATAAGTAACTTAACAATTTTCTGAACAATTATCTTATCAGATATTCACTTATCTCAATTAAATCTACTTATTATTTATAAAACCCGGGAATAATCAAACATGTTGAAGAACTTTCAAAAGACCATCTCAAAATATTAAAGAACACTGTGACTGGATAACAAAATTACTTACCCTTTAAACCATCAAATGGGCACTTTGACATATTTAATGTATCGGTCCGACATCAAGCAGCAAGTATCCTTTTCGCATATCTTTATTTTAGCATCATGAATGATATAGAACAACTTTTTTATCCGATATTCGTTTCTGTTGAACTTTGGTCTTGCTCAAACTTTTGGCCAATCAAAACTGATAATGTTTCGTCCAGAACAAATCTCGCGAGATTTACGCTATTGGAGAATGGCGGTCATTTTTACAAACTCGTGCAAGATTTGCTCTCTGTTTTGGTGAAATACACTACTAATCGTAAGTATATAGTGCTTCTTTGATATCTTATAAAGTCTCACTTATGTAGGCAATTAGTCTGGAATCTTATCTTTTATAAACAATGCTCAGAACTCACGAAAATCTAAGTTATTTGAAAACGCTATAAAAAAAACTGAAAAATTCACCAACAATTTTCATTTCAAATGATTACGATATCTGTAAGATAATTTTCAATTCTTTTACATTTTAAATACTCTTAGTGTAACATTTTCTCAATTTGCACGTTTGTTTTTCTAAGAATGACATGTTGCTCTTTCCAAATTTTGAGGCATAAAGGTATGAGTACCGTAATCCAACACCAAATTCGAAAATTCAGAACAATACTTTGCACATATGGCGTTCCTGATCAACTATAAAATGCTTACCCCCATAGTGTTATATATCAAAATGTACCTGTTCATATAGGGGTTCGATTGATCTACATCAAATTATAAGGAGTCAGGTTACTTTTTGAGATATCAGTGTCCATTTATTGTAACTCGCGTTTGCTACCATTTCCTCAATCCTGAGATGACGGGCAAACGCGTAGTAAACATGCTCACGTTGGAACTATTTTTGACCTACATCGCTATTTTCGTAATTCAAATGAAAGTTGAACTCCTCTTTATTTTGATACCAAAGAGTGGCATACTAGGTACCCTAGAAGCCAACTATGGCATTATTTAGAACAAAACCACAAGTTTTTAAATGGACTATATAGGGGTCATACCTTTTGGCGGATGGATATTGAACCTCATACCTAAAGATAAAACACTTATTCTAGGGCCAAGGGGTGTAACGTGGACGTGTGGGGTAATCACAGATACTAGTTTTCTGCATGAAAAAAATCAAAATTCTGCAAAAAATTCTGCAAGAAAAAAAGAAAATTCTGCAAGGAGAAAATCGAAATTCTGCACAAATTTTCAAAAAAAGTCCAAATTCTGCAATCTTTTAAAACGGAAACGAAAGTCAGCTACTTTCTAGGTAAGAACTGTGCGTCATTAGCGAACTCGCTTTAGCGAATTTAAACGTGATAGAATGTTGAATTTCACGGTGAAATCGTACTTGTACTCAATAATGATTGATTGTTGGACATAAACAGACACTCTTCAAATACCCCGCAAAGGTAGGAGATCGTAAAATATGTAATTTCTCGAAATTCTGGTAATTCCGCGGGATTTTCATGAAAATCAGGGATTCTGCAAAAAATTGAAGTTTTGTCAAATTCCGTCCACACCGCGGAATTATGGAATACTAGTATCTATGGGTAATGTCGACATAAGAGACGGAGTAACTTCTACACTTACTTAATAGAAGTGGAATTTCCATTTTCCGATTTCTTACTTCCGAGGTAAATAATATATAACATACAACTGAGAATGACCACTGTTCATCGTATTACTTATTAAAACTCTAAAATTCAGACAGATCTTTCAATATTTAGGCCAAACAAAAATATATGTCCGTTTCCGGAACCCCGACCGACCCTAGTTTGAACCCCCGACCCTAAGACATTTTTTAGTACAATGAAAAATAAAATATTCTATCTCTGGCCCTACTTGATTGAAACAATACATTTCCTTCTGAAATGTTCTACTCACATCAGGCCCAGATGTCCATATTTCTCATACCCTGGAACATTTGCAGTAATATTATCGTTAGGGCCCCCAAAACACTTGAAACACAGGAAATATTGTTTATTTTCTTGAAAAGTTCGCCATTTTTGCTCTTCAAAATAGGGGCCCGCAATCAACTCCTAGAGGGGTCTAGCAATTGCTAGGGAGACATCTATAACACTAAGTACTAACTTGGTTTCGGGTTTCACTCCCTTCAATAAAATTTGCAATTCCCATTTTACCATGCAGATTTGAAATAAGAAAAATAAAATCTTGGGGAGGGAAACCCGAAAACACAACAGCTATTTGCATAAATCAGCCTGACCTTTCACTTAGGAATGTTTATCGTGGGAAATTTGAATTTGAATGTTTATACCACATGATTGGTCTATTATAGTTTGATCACATGACTTATCATCATCATCAAGTTTAGGAGGGTTGGAGGCTTTATACCCTAATGTTCTCCCATCTGATCTATTAAAATTAAAACTGAATTTAGGGTAGGGAACTGATTATTGCTCACTAGTGGCTATTTATAAAGATCTGAGTACCATGCCTTGTCCAGGAGGGTTTTGAAGTGGGAAACTGACGTGGCATCAATGATACTCTGGGAGAGGGAATTCCAATGTACCAGATGAAAATGTTTTGTTCTCACAGAGACAAGTTTTCTCTGAATTGTTTGAATTAAAAATATTCTTCCAAGGTCTTCTAAAGCTGATTCTGTTTATTTTTGAGTCAGAAAAATTATATTTTTGAGGCATATATTAATATGATGACAACTTTGTAACCTCTGTTGATCCAGTGCTAAATATACTGATATTTGATGTCCATGAAGGCCTTTATCCAGAAGTTTCGAATGTTATGGTGGAATAAAATTGATAATAGATCAATAGACTTGTTTATTATTATATAGGCCTAGTGTCAAGGAAAACTTTGTTTTATCGCGATAATAACAATTTCAAGCGATAATAACAACTACCTTACTTTGGTATTTAGTTACCTATAAAAAATCTCATGTAACAATTTTCAATACCAGGCGAGAAAGTAAAGTTCGAACCCTGACCAAGTTGTTTATTTAGTTCAATATCTGAAGGTTTTAAGTAAGTATGGATCAAATGATTATAGATTGCATGATGAATTAAGGTCTCATGGCAGTTAAGAGCAAATGACAAAACGAAGAGATGACAAAAAACATAAGATAAAATATTTTTTCTGACTGACCTACCCTAAAAAAAATTGAGTAAAATTTTAATGAAAAATAAAATAATCCTCCTACCTACCTACCCTAATCTGAAAATGCATGGAGCAGGAAACAGACATATATTTTTGTTTGGCCTTAGTGGAATATCGCTAGACTTGACAATATAGATATAACCGTCAATCAAGAGCGTCGACATCAAAATCCTATTTGATGTCAGATGTACATGCTTGAGTGACACTTCAATGAATTGCATTTTGTGTTTTTATATAACCTTAGTTCAGAAAAATATTGCCATTTGTGAATGTTTTATAAGCAGAATATTTCCGTTCGCTAAAATGACATTTGAATAAAATCGCGAGTTAAGATTTTGGAAGGATTATAGTGCTCTATGGTCTTATAAAGCCTAATGGTAGGGCTATTTTATATACTTAATGATGATAATATACCTATCGTGGAGAATTGAGTCATACTAATGAGAAGGTATATGAAAAATGAAATTTGCTAAATAAAAGTATTTCTGTGCCACTCACATGCTGAATGAATTGTCTGTTCTAGCTATCCGATTATTACATTTAAGTTGAGAACTGAAGTAGAAACGCTACTTCAAAAACTGAACTGAACCAAGAAATTTTGAAACACCATTAGATCCCCAATTTAAGCAACAATGACAAATTCCTTTCATTGTCTTATGAAGACATGGAATAATTATTTTTCACTCTTAAAACTAAACAATATATTTTTTTGTTTGTTTTAGACTTAAAATGAAGCAAGAGCAGCAGCCAAGCTATACAGGACAGCTGCTGCCATACTCTGCGGCTACTTTAGAAAGTCTAGAGAGAAGTAGTGACATTACACAGCAAGACACTTGCATCTTTGGACAAACACATGAAGGTATAATTTCTTGAGATTGAAATACAATGATACGTGTAAAGTGGAATACCTCTAGAAGTGTAACACCTCTGTTAGTGGAATACTTTTCAGAATACCAAGACCAACTGACTAAATGTTGAATGGACATTTATAAGTGGAAAACCTCCCAAGTGGAACACTTAAGAGATACTGTATGTGTTCCACTTAAACAGGTTTTACTGTATACAAAATCTATTCAGAGAAGCACTCTTTTGGTTAACCTGTACAACTTATAAAAGGAAGGAAAGCTTCATATTCCATGTAAAGCTAGAATGTTTCAAAATATACATTTACTTTTACAGGAGGAAGATTTAGCTGGGTTGCCCGTGGCCCAGCATTGGAAATTATTAATTCGAGAAATGGTGCTAGGATCGCAGCGTGGATGTTTGGAGCTGCACTGAAGGATTGCAATACCAGTATTACGTGTGTATCAGAGTTCAATAAGGGTGCTGCATTGTTAATTGGGCTGGAGACCAGTAACAGAACAGGCATGCTGTGCATGTTCGATGTTCGCAAATCAAAAGTCGTCAAAGCTGTTCATATACCATATAAGGTAATGTAAGATTTAATTTCATTCACCCAATATCCTAATTGATATAATATAAAATGATCAAATCAAAATATACACCCACATATAGTTTGTACTCATGTGCAAAGCCAAGCATGAGGCAAGTGAGGCAACTGCCTCACCAGATTTTTACAGAAACACATTTATTCATGTTTTTTTTCAATTAAAACTTTGGGAATTAAAGGACGGGTGTCATTAAGGGCCCTTTTTAGCCCCCAAAGATATATGATAATAATGCATATCACATTGAAGAAAAATCATTTGTGCTTTATAAAAATACAATTTCAGCGAATTTTGACCTTTGATGTTCACACAACAGTCATTTAAAGATCATATACCATTTTTGGTGTTTTTACAAAAAAATCTTTATTTATTGTTGTCTAAGTAAATAGTATATAAATATTAACCAATTTAAATATATTAAAATGTAATATATGAAATACTGAAGAAAAGATACGATTAAAATTACTTTCATGGAAAAGCACAAAGGGCAATATTGACAAAATGCAAATGCTATTTTGGTAGGTTCTGGGCTAGGAATGGGTACATTTCAACTGTGAATGTAATGGATTACTATTGAATTTTATCAATTATCACAGGGCAACATTTAAGCAACTTAAATACAAGGAAAATCAAAAATTTCCTCTCATTTCTAAAACGAGGAACAAAAGCATGATTCAAGGAAAATAAATGATGGCCTGTGCCAAAATATATAACATACAAGAAAGTTCTGGCACAGTAAAGGATATGTATAGGATATCATATGATTTTAAATGATTTCATCTTTATCTCCGAGGTGATATCAATATCTTGCCAAGTTAGCATAGCGAATAAGCGCAGATATTGATATCAATGAGTTGGATTAACACAATATCACGAAAATTCATAGGATGTTCTATTTTTCCCATAGTTCACCTCTAAGACTAAACAAAGCATATCAAAACAACATCCATTCATTCATTCATCCCCGTGATGTCATGAAATCACTATTTAACAAAACACACCATATTGGTGGTAGTTTTCAAATCCCTGCCAAAAGGTGATATCTGTGAAATATTTTCCGTATTCCACAGATATCACTTTTTCCACGCATTTGCAAAATATCATAAATATGTTTTCATGTTACCTAACAGAGCAGAACAGAGTTCAACTATGGGATAAAGAATATGTACATAATTGAATTACCACTCCAAAAATATTAAATATGAGGGTTTAAAGGAAGAATATTGAATATGAGATTCAAAAAGACAAGTGGCCTCATGTCTCACATTACCCAAACCCCAGATCCTCGATGTCATATATACTTGTATACTGTATATCAATGTTATTTACTGGGAGGATTAAATATGGAGTGTATACGATATTTGCTTACCCGATATTTCCAGATGAATATTTTTTCCCTAGAAGCGGAACCCAAACTCAGTCATGACATAGACGCTAACTTTTGCAATTAATAGAAACTTGTTTTTTATTATATTTTTGTAATAATAATATGAGATTCATTTCTACAACGAATGTGAACTTGTATATTGAACTATACTCCTTTTCTGAATAAACAGAACAACATTTTATCCAAGCCAATTAAGAAAACCAAGGCCAATGAGTGTAATTTATGCCCAGTTAAACTAATACAATAACAACTTTTTGTCTGGACTCACTTATTATGTAAGAATAAATTGTATTACTGTTTACTGCATTAAATGCCAAGTATACTATCTGTATTTAATTTCAAATGCCTATCTCACTTATCGAAGGTATACAAGAAATGTTATTTTGAAACAAATTCAGCACAACCAAAACCATGTCCACATAATATGACAAATCCAAGATGGCTGCCACAATTTGAGATCCATGCACATGTGAAGAAGTTAGAAATACACATGGTCCACAAGTTCCATCCCCAATAAAATGAGAAGTTTAAGGTTCTCACACATATCAACTCTATTCCCATATACTTTATATTTGTGGTAAGGCTTGTGATCTAGGTAAACTAAGCATGTTCATGTACCTCCTATCCTCTCAAGCTAAAAACAGAAATAGTGACTTCAATTGAGAAAAATGAATCTTATGGGCTCCATATACATTTAGAGTGGCTGTCCGGCTTAAGTTAGATACTACTGATAATCTGAGATTGAAAATTATGTCAAGTTTAGTCCTCAGCCTTTCATAACGGATAACTTGGAGGTAATTGTGTTGTTACTGCAAAAACCTCTATTTCTTCATCACAAATCTACCATCTTTTGCATCTGTCAAAACCCTTCATTTCGTGTTAATTTTCAGACTTTTGCTTGTGCCATCATTAAATATATATATTCAACTTGTTATTCAGAATATTTTAAGAACTTTTCATGAATTTTTTTATTTTCACACTTTTGAAAAAATGACTAAGTCAGAGAATGGCCTCTTAATGGCATGTCCCCTTTGTTTTCCTCTCTTTTACTACATATTTAATCCATCTTGTATATAATATTACAACCATTTACGTCTCTGTCTATGTAGGTGACTGCAGTGTCTGGGGTTACAGATGAGACAAAGACAGTTGAGGCCAACCCTGCATTTAGTGAACTATTGTTGTGTTTCCAAGGCATTGTGGCTGTCGGTACTCAAGGTGGACATGTCTATATAATAGGTGAGAATACTCACTCCTGTTATATTGGTATTACCATATCTTTGATAAAGCTTGAGATTCCAAATAATTCAGATCATGCAGTGGCACATATTAAGCAGTGAACTTCTAAATATGACAATTCACACTAATATTTGCTTCTCAAGATAAAAAGCAAAGGACGATTCTTGGTTTGGAGAACGAAGTTCTTCAATCTAAATGAGCATTATCCCTGTTTCGGACAAATTTGAATTTTTAAATATTTTTGAAATATTAATTTCTATGTCTCTTGTTTTTTAATGTTCCCCTTTGTTCCCTTGTCAGATATGTGTTTGGATGAGTGGGATGAGGTGACGAATGAGGTGACAGCTGGCACTGTATGTATGATAGATATACAGAGTCGGGACTTTAGCACTCAAAGACTCCAGGCCCTGCATAGAGATGAACACCTCTGTATAGAACTAGACAGTATGTACTTTTTTTTGTTATCTGGAATCAATGTCTTTAATCTAATTTTTTCTATTAAAGCTTCGATCTGATGGCTAGGCTACACAAAATTTTACTCACTAAACATAGCGCTGAATGTATATAGACGGTTTTGACACTGATATTAGTGATTTCTCCAATATATACAAAATTTTGCACTATTCTCTATCATAATCTTCATATATTGTTTTGGGAAACATTTTGTTCCTTGGGATTTGCCACTAGTTATATAATGCAAATGTTGGAATGTATTTGGAAAATTATTATGTATTTTTATTTTAAAAGGAAGTGCATTTGAAAGAGGAGCTTACAAGTACAGGAAACAGGATGGCAAAACTATAAGGGACTTCAGTGCAGGTATTTTTGTTTTATATGTTAGTGAAGGCAGATTTAGACTAGTACTATTATTAGTGAAATGAAATACCATGAACACAATGTAGTACAGTTAAGATAGAGATGCTTTGAACAGTTGTGAAAAAAGTTAGTTCTAGTCCTAGACCCCCATATTGTTCTAGAAATGTTGATTCGTCATTCACTTGAATTTTTCTTTTTTAGATTTATTGCACTTTGCACATTTTTTCATAATTTTTTGGTTTATAGGGCACATGTCGCGTTTATATTGTTTATTTTGTTTCAGTCTAATACACAGGCTTAGTCTAAAAAATCTAAATGAGATTTTTCTTATGGGATGTGTGATTTTTTTAATGGATTTTATATTTCCTCCTGAAACAGTAATTCTGTGGAATTGTCCAATTTAGAATACTGATCTTCTTCCAGATACAGTTGTTGTGACCAGTTTGAAGTATATAGGCCACACCGGGTTACTTGCTGTAGGCTTCAACTTTGGCAGTTTTCAGCTATGGAAAATGTACAACCAGACATTAGAGTAAGTAGGCAGAATAGAATGAATTGTAGTTGCATATTAATAACTTGGGCACTGTCTTTGACATGGAATGTCTTTATGTTGTGAAGTATATTGGAGTCAGAAAAATTGGCTATATTGGGTGACATTGAATGGTTGGGTGGAGTCATGTTTTATATTAAAATTGCTAAGATGAGAGTGTGGACCAAAATAATAATTAACAATCTATGAAATACATGTATATGTGATAATTTGTAAGCACACAATGACATATCAACATTCTATTTTTGTAGATATAGCTGTAGGTTTGAAGAGGACCTGCCTCCAGTGACCCACTTTGCTTACCAGGAGCCAGAGAATGACCCCCGCAAGTTTGTCTACATCTGGGTAGGCAGGGGGCCAAGAATACAGGACTCCATGTGAGTAAACTTACTTTATTTTGTTGATTGTCTTATGTACAATCTTCATGGGTTTCATTACCAGCAGGCAACAGGCGATTTTCACCAGTTGTATTCAGAAAATCACCTGTTGTATTGAGGGACTTTTCTATGTTTTCATTAATTTTGCCTGTTTTCATTTATATAGCCTGTTATGAGAAATTCTAGTGAAACCCCTGAATCTTCATAACTTTATAATTTGTTTGATGCTTTTCTAGTATACATATTTTGTAGACATTAAAAAGTTAACATTTTTATATTCCTAGTCATATGCTATGTGTTTACTGTGATTCATATTAAAGTACTCAAGTTATATATTTTTTTTTCTTGTCATTACACTTTTTATTTAATCTTTCCATTTGTTTTCCAGTCAAGGGGATACTGGTCTACTGTGTTTATATCAGCTTGCCTTCAATGAGAGAACAATTTATGGAAACTGCAATATTCTCTATGAAGTAAGTAGCATTAGTAGAATGGCTTAAATGTGCATCTGTTTTGTTGCATTCAGATACATTTGCAATGAAGTAACATTTATTTTTTTGCAATAAATTGTTCCAACTTTTTGCACTGTTCAGGTTTTCATATGCTCAATAAAATATGTCTATATCTTATTCACAAAGAAGATACCCAGTATCATTTATAAAATTTTGATATTTTCATTGATGAATCCTATTGCTTATTTTGAGTTTTCATTCTCCAATCTTCCTCCAGGATCTGATGTCAGTTGGTCCAAGGTTTGACTATGATTTGACTGGAGATGTATTCCACAGCCAGGTGACCCAATGTGATGGCAGTAGACTAGTAGAATGTTATACTATTGAGACATCTGCAACTAAGGCAAATAATGAGGAGGATTCCTTTGATGAAGGTAATTATTATTGTTATTATTGATAAAATTGATTTTCAGTTGTCAAGTTCGGATCAGTATTTCTTTCATATATATTCTCCTTGACTTCTCTTTTGCTGAAGATGATGAAAAGACATGCATTGTAAGAATTTGTGTTCAAAAGCATTTTATATTTGATAATGATATTCATGTTCATTTCCAGGGGTCTCTGGGCCAGACATGAGCCTCTGTGTGTTTGTTTGGGAGGCTGCAAATGAAGACCCCCACAGCAAGCCATCATATTTTCTTGGTATGTTTGATCTCAATCGATGGTACCAGTCTCAAATGCCAGGGGAAGTTAGGTAAGTGTAGTCCAACCAACCAAGTTTCATACGTTTGTTCTTGATTGAATATGTATAACTCTAATTTGAATTAATAAGACATATAGAGAAAAGAGAGAAATATAAGCATGAAGAGTTGGCGCAGTAGACATAATAGAGATTTTAAATTGTTAAATGCATTACATTACAAGCATTTTAGGATTTCCATCTTTAAAGGTTAAAATGAGAAGCCTCTAAATCCTGAATGTACAATGCTCAAAAGTGTCCGTGTAGAATGTTGACTGGTTTTGTTTGTGTTGTAGGTTAACAAATGGAGGTCTACAGCAGTGTCCCTATTTTGCATTTTGTATCCTAGATGATGTATTAGATGCAGCATCCCCAGATTGTTTACTAGTAAGCTTATTTACTAATTTACCAAATCATGCATTTCAAAAAATATTTTCAAACTAGAAATTATCATGCATTCATTTATTTAATTTCTAAAGTAAATCTTGAACAAAATGTAGAGGTGAACGGCTCTCATATTGAAAGTATGATCCACAGAGAAATAGGTGCAAAAGTCTTCCTGAACAGTCTGAGTGAGTAGATTGTTAAATGATGATTGTTTGTTTCAGAGTGTCTATGTCGAAAAGCAAAGTATTACAAAGTTCCAGTCAAACATTACACCAGCTCCTGAACTTCACTTCTATCCATCATCATTAGCATTTGGTGAGTAAGCACTCAAGTTATTAGTCATGTGTTCGTTGGTTATGTATAGTCTATACAAAAAAATTAACTCACTTCTATAGATGTTAGGAAAATTCAAAATCCTTAACAATTTGTACTAAAGATATCAATTCCAAACATCTGTTAATTTAAACTCTGAGGTGTGCAATTTTATTGTAAAAAGAATTGAAATTTAGATACAATTCACATACCTTTAGATCTCACAGTGAGCGCCTTTAGGAGCAACCACTCTTGTACTCGCCACCGATTTTTGAACAAATGAAAATGGCCATTCATTTCAACCCATGTTCACATCCATTTTGTGGGTCCATGTTTCTAATTTATTTACACTATTTCATCACAGCTTCTATTTTCGCTTAAATTTGAAAAACTCTATTCAAATTAATTTAAACAAAATCATTATTTCAGATGCTACCTGTTTGATGGAGACGGGGATAGTTCACACACAGTTCTTAGGAGTTCAACGCCAAATCATATCTGATCTCATTAAACGTGGCCCTGGTGTTCTAGCAGATCCCAGAGATGTGTTCAAGATGTCCATGTTTGCTGGCCTACTGCCCTGTGCAATAGATCCTGCCTCTGTTAACATTGCCAGGGACAACCAGAGGGCTACTGTTCTATCTATGTTGTTAGACTATAATGCAGTGGGGTTTATCAGCACTTGTATTACACAATGGGCAGAAGGAGGTTTGTCCATTCTTGTATTTGAAGGGGTGATACATCGAAACAAAATAAGTGATGTAGTAGCTATACGATTTCATCTGATTGATTAGAATATTGAACTGTAGAATATATTGAAATATATTGTACAAACAATCAATCTTTTTGTATTTCATAATTTTGTCAAATTTTACAATCTTTCCACATTTCATAATCTTCTCACTTTTCATGATTTTGTCACTATTATGCATTGTAGAATACAACCACCTGGGCTGTACCCTGAGATTCCTACTAGACTGGGCATGGAAGAAAGTAGGATCTGTAAAAGAAGCATTAGACAAACTATGTAAGTTTAGTAATTGAAATAACAACATGTTCATGCCAGCTTATAAAATTATAATTTACATATTTTGACCAAAACTCCAAACCCATGATAATGATTATGATGTTCTTCAAAATAAACTGGACTATCAAGTTCTTATGCACTGTAATATTTAAACCCCAACTGAGTGGAACGTCATTTTGCTTCCAGTGCTAAATAATGATACTTTGGTGTTGATAGGAGGAGAGTGATAGAAGTATTATAACTAACCATATTTTTGCCCATTGAAATATTTGTTCTCAGTTTGATTTCAGTCATCACATTCTTTACTCTGGAACTACAATACAAGAGTCTACAAGACCTAGAATGGGTTCATCTAATATATGAAGCAACATGTGTATATTTTACTGTTATTATATGTTTGTATCATATTTTCATCAAGGTGTACCATTGTATGACTACACTGGGCACCATATAGATGACAGCACCATGCAGTTACTCAACATGTACCAAGCTCAATTAGACCATATGGTGACAATCTTCAAGGCACTCTCAGAGCAGACACCACAAACTACTGCACAAGGTAAGTTACCTTTGTAGCATATTTTCTTTTTTTGTATGACTTCAGTTTGAGCATGGTTGTTTGTTTTACATACATTTTCTACCAAGCCTCACATGTCAATTCGGGAAATTTGATTAGGCTGCATCAAGTTATCATGATATATCGAAAAAGTATGGTATCTGTGCAAGCATGCTACATTTTGTCATATTTTTCAACATTTAGGATGATCTTTAATTCTTAAAAGGCGACCATTATGTATGATGTGTTTTGTATTGTAAACTTTATTCAAACCTTTTTCCATGACTAGGAAGCAAAGATTTGGAGACAAAGCTCAATGTGGTGACTTTGATAAGCCAGCATTTACACGTTGTCCTCTGGTGTGTAGCAAATGGCCTTCTGCCAGAGTTTCACGAGGGAGACCATCATAATAAACATTATTTCTACCCTGCATCCATCCTGAAGCAACAGTACCAGTCGCGTAGAGAAGCACTCAGGCAGCTTCATAGGTAGGCGAACAGTCCAATAGTTTTTCATCAAATCTTTCCTCCCCAACTTCTTTTTTAACCAGGGAGAAATATATGGTGTTGGAGGGAGGGGTGATATGTGGAGTCAATGATTTTGATATAATTTCCAATATTTATCAAAATGGCATCTAATCATGTATAGAAACTGATTATAAAGTGATTAGATCAGGTTACAAAGTTCTGCATACATGTTTTCTTACGAATACCTTGATATCAATGTATTTCTTACTTTTTAGCGATGTTAGTCAAACAGACCTTCTCCTGATAGATGGCATTGTGAATGAACCAAATGCTGGTGTGAAAGAACTCTGGGAGAAAGATGGCGGTGATGGTCTTTACCCACCACCAAACCTTCATGTAAGTATTTTTACAGTAACATGGGTGTTTTTAAATGTATTCAGCCATGGTACTCTTTCTGAAACTTTGTAAAAATTAGTTATTGTTTATTTTTAATTAAAAGATTGCATTAAATAGTATAGTACATGATATAAAGAGATAACTCATTAAATGATCTATCTAAATAGTTCAAATAAACAATGAATAAAGCAAGTGGGCGCAGCACCCACCTGAGATTTTGAAAATAGCCTTGCCTTGCCTCACCTGAAAATCCACTTGAAAATGAGAAAAATCATGAAAAATTGGCATATTTTGACCAATTTTGGGCTGAATTGAGAAAATGAGAATTTGCACCCATCTGAGAAAAAATCCTCGGGAGAACGTTGAATATTGTTACAATTTCATTGTGAATGAAAATTTGAAATGAGAAGATAGGCTATGAATTCCTCATTTGAAAACCAAGTATGTATATTAGGGTTGTTCAAATATTTTAATCAAGCCCTTTTAATGAATAACATAGGTGTCTGATTGTAGTACAGTTTCAAAAGTCATATAGATTCTGATTTTATTACAGGCTTTGTTGAACATCTACCTGTTAGAGAATGTCAGTGTGCAATGCAAACACTGCATGGTGCTTTATGTCTTGTTTGACCTAGTCTCCCTGCTAGCTGAGAACAACCAGGAACAGCATGAACAAGTATGGGTAAAATTCTCATTGTAATTGGGTCCCTGAAAAAATCAATCGAAACGGGGCCAGAAATCCCTAGAGGTCATGATTTTACATGATCATATACAAGTTCTCTTAATAGAGTGCAGCTTAACTTCCCTAATATTTGCCCTCATTTGAGAAGCTACATCAGCATCCTTCTACTGAGCTGGCTGAATAAATACACACTAAACTAGACCCCAATCAAAAGAGAAATTTTAAATGAATATTTTGAAAACATGATATTAATTTTAAAATTTGTGTTTTAGCTTATAGAGAGAATGAGCAGATTCTACCAAGCATTTTCCATACCTCAGGGACTTATAAGGCTCATACAAGGCTACTGGTTCCTTGACCGCAAGGACTTTGATGTAAGTGGGTTAAACTCTACATAATAAATGGCTTTTATTTATGCTGTAGTAGACTTATTTTAGTGTTTAGTGTTTATTATCCCAACGAACGAAGTTCGTTAGGGATATAGTGAAGCCCTCCGTCCGTCCGTCTGTCCGTCAGTCAGTCAGTCAGTCCGTCCGTCTGTCCGGAAGATAACTCAAATACTAGTTGACAGATTTTCTTCATATTTAGTGGAAAGATGTATATTGGTGAATAGTTTTACGCAAAAAAAAAATTTTTCAAGATGGCCGCCGCTTTAAAAATGATGGGACTTTTTCACAAAAATCATAAATTTTTCATTATAAACCAAAGTAATTTATATTATTGTTTGAAATTTTGGTAGTGTATTCACAACATTTATCTATTTCACATATATTCTGTGTTTTTCATCCTGACCCCCAGGGGCCATGTATGGGGGGGACAGGAAAACAGAAATTTTCGCTAATTTTAGATCTTTCTGAAGTATAGCTTTATTATACTCAAATGAAAGGCAATTAAGAGTAGATTGCAAATATTGTATCTTTTTTCTGATTCGAGCCTCGTAAATTCAAAATGGCCGTCTAATGTACGATTTCGCAATAATTTTTCGATCCCTTCAAAGTATGGCTATATTATACTCAAATTGAAGGAATTTTGGAGTAGATCACAATTATGGTATTATTTTTCAGATTTGTACCTCAGCAAATTCAAAATGGCTGCTTTGCAGGAATTCGCAATTCTAAAATCTAATTTTTTCATTTTCAACCAAAGTAATGAGTATAATTGATTGGAATTCGGTAATTGATATTTTGTTCGTTGGGATTTGCTACTCCGTGGAGTTGCCGTTATCTAGTTCAAACATTGAAGCAGTTAATGTAAGGGAATCAAGACGAAAATCTCATTGTTCAAAGTCCACTTGTAGCAGTTAAGAATTTAGGAAATCATGGATGGACATGAAACTGACATTAAAGGTTCCTCTGTTTATCTGTTAATTTGCTTAGTATATGCTCTAGTAATTATGGTAATGGTAGTCTTGCCTCTAGCCCCGTAAGAATCCCAATCATTAACACATTTCTGGGTTGGCAAATAGATAGTGAAGTGACCATAGGCTTGGATAATGACTTCAAATTATTTATGAGTATATGTTTGCATGATAATATAACCAAAATTTATTACAATTTTAGCAAGCCCTGACTTCTCTGCTGGATCCTATGATTGATGTGAACATATCACTATGGCAACAGGTTCGTGTCATCAAGGCATTCCTCTATCAAGGTCACCACCAGAAGGCCCTGCGGTTCATTCGTATACGGAAACCACCAATGGAAACCCCTGAACTTGTGAAGCTCAAGTTGACTGTTCTACTGGCCAATGGGTTAGTGTTTGTTGAATTGTAAATGTTTTGAAATTATATATCTAAATTCAGTAAAACTTGTTCTCGTGAATACCTGTATAAAATATATGTATGAGACGGATTTTGGTGAAAGAATGAGACAAATTGATTTAACTTAGCAAATTAGCTGAACCAATGTATAGCATATGAAAAAAAAAATATCCGTTTAAAATGTATTTTAAAGCATAAACATTTCTCTTGTTTGATCCTTAAGTGAATGTCTATTACTATTTTATGCATTATTTCCACTGTTTGATGTGTTATAGTTTGACATCTGAGGCATTTGAGTATCAGCGTTTGTGTAGAGATGAGGGTAACTTGGATGACCTTCTTTCACATTTCTTCCTAGGATGTCAACAAAGTAAGTATAAAACATAGTATAAACAACATTGGTTGACTGTTCACATGAGATGTGACTCATCAATAACAGGCAAATCAACAGACAAGATAATTGGAAAGTATAAGCCAAACAAATTACATGGAAACTGTCATTAATTGCCTGCTGTGGTAAACATTTGTGTCTAAACACAATGTCATCGATACACCATCAAATAAAAATTTTCCTTTTTGGTGTTAAATGATTGGTAGTTAAATGAGTAATTTCTTGGGGCAACATATAGATAGTAATGTCTTCATTGGATTATATCTGCATTTATTCAATGTCATATCTCATCTTTGTCAAAAGATTCATTTTGTTCAGTGAGACACACCAAAATGACCTTTGTCTTCTTGAGGTGTTTTTTATAGTCGAGGATTATTTATTGTAAAGATGAATTGAGGGCAAACAAGAGCAATAGTTGTATTGGTAGAATTAAACAATCAAACGAAATTTCTTGAATTTCAGCCAAGATGATAGATAGTCTACTTCAGCTTCCAATGAATGATGTGGAGGAGCGCCAGTTGATAGGGTACCTACAGGAGACTAAAGAGCCCAATTCTAAAGAGATCCTCATAATGCATTACTTACAGAGGTCTAGATATGTAGATGCAATACGCCTTAATGAAAGAGTCAAACAAACTGGTCTGGTAAGTCAATTAAGATATAATCAAAGAGTAATTGTTTCAATTCTATGGCAGTGTGTATGTGATCATTACCCTTTACAATAGTTACTTTGCTAATAAACTAGACTCTAACACCCGGGGTATATGACCAAAGGTCGGGAGATAATTCTTCTGGCCAGTTGTGTTATATTGTCTTAGACACCATTTTTATGTCACCACCACAAGTGGTGACATATTGTAGTCTCTAACTCTTTTGTGGATAAGCTAGTGTTTGGCATTCAGAGTTTGGCACTTGTAACTAATGGCAGGTGGTGACATTTTGCCTGTTAATACCTTGTGTTTAACTACAATCTAAGTGACATGTGCCACTTGGTGGAAGTAGATGGTCAAAATTTGGTTTTGGGTGTGTGTCATGTTCAGAGGTTAATACAACAATTCATTTAGTACTGGTATTTATAATTAAGTGCCTTGGGTCAAAAATATTATATTCGCAAAGTTAGAGATCAAAAGTCTTTTGAATAAAATTGTCATTGAGTTGCAGTCAATTGATCAAGTTTCTCAATTTCATGGCCAGAGCTGTCAAAAACCTAATCATTGATGTTATAAACTAACCCTATTTGATCCTTATTCTTTATTGAGCCAAGGACAATAAGTAATATTATGTTTTTGATTTTTGATAGTCACAGGCTGGTATCGAAATATGTGTCCGCTGTGACGGAGCATGCTATTTTTCATAAAAACATTAAGAATACTTCACGATTTATTTTTTAACTCATATGTTTCGTTATACCATACAAAATTACTTACTCCATGCAATGGATATATCATTTGCGGGTAACTTTCACTTCTGATTGAAGTCCAATTACGCTGGGAAGAAAAGCTATTGAAAATGGCACCGGAGTATCATACTTCAAAATGTACCATTTCTTGTTTAACTTTCTAATGGCACGATAAAGTGACACGATAATATTTACACATGGTTTCAGTATAACTATGAAGGTATAAATGAGATGTTGATGTATTTGGTCTTTTTAATTCTTTTATAAAAAATAATGTTTAATTTTTTTGTCCGCTGTGACGGAGCAGGTGCAAATATGAACTGTGAAAATGCTCCGTCACAGCGGACAAAAAATATTAATATTATTTTTTATAAAATAATTAAAAAGACCCAATGCATTAATATCTCATTAATACATTCAGAGTTATGCTGAAAACATATGTTAATATTATCGTGTCACTATATCATGCCATTAAAAAGTTAAAAAATAAATGGTACATTTTAGAGTTTGATACTCTGGCGCCGTTTTCAATAGATTTTACTCCTAGCGTTATTGGACTTCAAACAGAAGTGAAGGTTACACGCAAATGATATATCCATTGCATGGAGTAAGTAATTATCTTTGATATAACGAAACATATGAGTTAAAAAATAAATCGTGAAGCATTCTTAGAGTTTTTATGAAAAATAGCATGCTCCGTCACAGCGGACAAATCTTTCGATACCAGCCTGTGATAGTACACATTGTAAATTATAAATACTACAGTCACAAACATTTTTTTACATTCAATTTGAATTTTATTGGTACCAATTATGTTATTCTGAATAGAATTTCAATGATGACATAATGAAGATGCTTTTTAGCTTGATCGTCCAAATGATAAATTTTAGTTTACAAGGTTCAATTTTATATTTTTTGCAGCGAGGGACTATGGATAATGAGGATAGATAAATTTTCTTTAATCTTAGGTTTATAATATTCTTTAAATTGTGAATTTCCATCAAAATAAATTTGCAAAACTAAAATGAAAATCCTTATTACCCAAAGTCTTCATAAGCATACCTATACATAGATAACAATAATATAATAAAAATGGTAAAACTCATTCTTTTGCATATTATATTCAATTTTCCAATAAATTCTTTTTATCTGTGTATTCAATCTTAATCCAATAACTTTGTATTTAATACAGACATGGTATATGTACAGATGTTGATTAACAAACAACACATAACAATTAATTTAACAAGAATTTAGAATATTTTCTCATTTGTGTTTTAAATATGTCTAGTGGGGTTTACACCTTGATGTGTCATATTTGCCCTGAGGCCCTTGATTCTAGGTTACTATGGTAACCAGTTTCTTATATTGATGTGTCATTCTATGCTACACTCAAAATGATAATCAATGAAATGTGAATGATGAAATTAAACATTTCTCTAAATTCAAAACCATTGATGCTATTTGAGAATATAACTGTTTCACACTTAAATCACTCCATCTGCACATTAAAATCCACCATTGAGAAGGTTCTTCTTAAATTAGTCACATTTGAGAGTCAAACTCTAGTTACATGTTTCGTAAAAAGAGAAAGCACCTCTATAACATGTCTAGAAAATAAAAACATGGAATAAGAATCATTGCTACAATAGTTGCTTTAATAACACATTCACAACACTTACATTTACCTTGTTTGGTAATAACCCTACAACATTTATAACATCACGTCATAAAAACAAAACATCTGCATAGAAAGGAACTATATGTACATGTATGTTGTTACTTGTTAGTGATTTTGCAAATTCTTCACATAGCACGCATAGGAAATACTAAATACATGTAGTACTGAGTAGACATTTTTACAAAGCATTAATTATTTTATAAAAAAATATAATAGTTTTTATATAATAGTTTTTGCTAGGTTATAATAAAGCACTTAACATATTGTATTCTCCCAGATTGATATATTTGTGTTTAAAGCATATCATAGGCATTTGGAGATGATCGCGTTCTCACTGTTGATCATGTATATTACTAGAGCTGGCATCAAATGTCGGAATGGTCGATTGTCAGTCGAATGCTCTCTGCGACACCCATGTCGACACAACGCCTCTTGATCGACAGTTTGAACTCACAACATAATAAGCTATTTCCCTAAGAATTAAAATCTTTGTTACTACCTGCTGTATGGTGTATTTTAGTGAAGTTTTACCGCCTACATTTTCAAATTTTCTTTTTGTTTCGAATTAGGTCTCGTGCCCCTCGAGATTTACCCTTGAGATTTATTTTCAATGGCTGCCCGGAAATAACAACAGAAATCGTAGTTTTATGTCTATTTATTGCTTTTTCGTCAAAGTCTGATACTTAAACATGGTTTACCTGTAAGTTAAATATAAGACATACAACTGAGGATGACTATTGTGCATCGTATTGCTAATTACAAGCCTAGAAAATCTAAAATTCAGACGAATTTTCTTCAAATTTTTTTTCATTTTTCGAATATCATTGGACCCGACAATGTCGATATCGTTGTCGATCAAGAGCTCCTACATGTCGACATTAAAATCCTATTCGATGCCAGCTCTATATATTACTGTATCATATTTTGTGTGATTCTACTCTTTGTATTTCACAATGAAAACTTCAGCTGGTCCTGAAGTGGGACTTGTTCCAACAACTAAGTGCCCTTCATGGTTCACAGTAATTGTATTTGGAACTTCCAACGCATCCACAGATATTAACTTGATGAATTGATGTTCTGGGGACAGTATATGGATTCTGTTATTGTCCATGTCGGCTATTAGTATATGTCCCATATCATCAGTACAGACACTACTGGGTTTAAACAGATCTTGGTTTTGCTCTCCATTGTACTCATAAAGAAGCTTGCCATTTCTATCCCTGCACTTCACAGAGTTATCCCAGTAATCCGCAATTAGTATATCATTGTTTGGAGTGACAGCTATTGTGCCCACTTGAGATGTAAACATACCAGTTGGTGTAGCGCTTCTAATCCTCATCAATGACATATCCATGTGATAAATTGCTTTGTTATTGTGACCTTCCGCTTTTATCACCAGCTCATTTAAATGATTGAATACTATACAGTTTGCTGCATATAAAGGTGTTGGTAGGCTTCGCTTGAGTTGTCCAGTGATGTCAAATATCTTCAGCAAGTTAGATCCTTCATCTTCACATGATACAACAATAACATCCTTATTGGATGCTACATCTTTTACTTGTTTTTCTACCAGCTTTGTCTTTAAGTCCCAATTCTGATCAAAGATCACAGCTATTGCAGTACTCCCTGATAACCATTTCTTATGTCTTCTACCCATTATTAATATATCTTTGTTTTCCAAGTATTCTATTGTTTTCACATCTGAAAGATCCTTTACTATTATGCGCTGTATAAGCTGGCAAGTATTCTTAAGTCTACCCTTTCTTTCTAAAATCTTCGCTGCCTTCATTTTTGTCTTCATGAGTTTGACTTCTTCAACATGTAAACAAGAATCACTGTGCGATCGTTGTACTGCATTACATTTTTTCACTTCAGCTAGATTGAGGCTGTTATGAGATTTAAGCTGGTGCTTTTCTTTTTCTAGCTCATTTTTGCTTTCTTGTGTCAAGTCTTCTTCAGGTCCTTTTTCCAAACTCGGACATGTTGGATGAGCTACTGAAAGAAGCTCAGTCAGGCCTACTCTTTGTTTCATTTGACTGTGAACAGTTGAATAAATTGCTGGATCATTTTTGTTTTGTTGTTTTGAAGAAGCAGCAGTATCAACTTCATCTATACCTTCTTGCATTTCCATAACTTCCAGTTGCTTTTTTGGCTCTTCAGCTTTTGTCTCCAGCTGGATTATCTTAGGGACCAAGACTTTGCTGTCAGTATTTTTATTTCTCATTTTTACTTGTGCTTTTAGTTGTTTCTCTTGCTCCTCGTCCATCATCATTGGAGATATTTTCTCAGACTCTCTTTCCTCTGTTTTAGTAGGTTTTAGGGGTTTAGGTGGTATTGGAGGTTTGCTCTTAAGCTGGACTGGGGATTTATCAGGTTTTCCTGTTTGTCATTCCACATCATCTTTGTTTAACTTCATTGAAGAGGGGTTATCATTGCTGTCAGCTTTCCCATTTCTCCTTTTTAGTTGTGCTTCTTGTATTTCTTGGAGAAGTTTATACCATAAGTCACGTGGCATGGGTTGAAAAGTTTGGTCCATTGGAGTGAAATTACCTGTAGATTGCATTGGGAAAGTGTGGCGTTTTAAAACCACCTCCTCTCTCTCAAATTCAGGTATTTTTGGTAGTTTCAGTTTTTCTCTCAGTTGCTGAGAATCTTGAATGTTACACTGCTCCATGAGCTTTTCTATGTTGATCTTAATGGCCATAAAGTCAGTCAATGATCTAACCTTTTTGTTTTGATCAACCAGATAGTTAGCCAGTGCCAAGTTGTCCTTTGTTTGAATTAAGTTGTACTCCCATAAACACAGCTCAAGCTCAATTGCCACTGTCTTATTGGTATCATTGGTATCTTTTAGAGTGCTAACAAATTTGTTGAATGCATATGTTGATCGCATTTTCAATAGTTCCAAGAATTTTGTACATTGTCGAGTGTTGGTCTGTTCTGATAAGATATCTTCCTTCATTTCCTTGGTTATGACATTTTCTTGGTACCATATGTCTGCCATGGAACGAACATTCAAAGATTTCACTAGGGAATCTTGACATGATGTGAGAGCTTTGATGTGGACTCCAGACAATGAGACATCTTCATAAGAAAATCTGGTGGTTTTGGTTTCCTTGCCCTCGTCCAATCTTTCTAGATTGATTAGCTTATTTGCTAACTGCCATATTTCTTTCAATGAGTCTTTGGTGGTGCTTGATCTTTCGTGAATCTTTTTACAAGCAAGTCTATAGGCAATATTTATGTTGGATCTAGTTAGATAAACTGTTTGATCACATAACTGTGATTCGATTTCATCGGCCAAATGCTCATGATATGCTTTTAATGAGTCGACAAAACAATTAAAACCAAATACAGTTTTAGACTCTAAAATGTTCAACAGATATCTACATTTCTCAGTCCTCAATTTTTCACTTGAGATGATTTCTTTGTCATCTGATCCAATTACTTCTTCCTCATACAGAATTTCAATTATATCATCAACCTCTAAATCTTTAACTAACTTTCCTCGACAAGCTTTTAGTGCTCTTACATAGACCTCGGGCAATTGTTTGTCTTCCATGGTGTTTCTGTTGGTCCTGTAAATGATACGTTAATAAAGAATCGTTTAAACGATTAAGTACTTTTTGAGATCACAATGATATTGATGAATTTCATGCAAAAATGCTCTCATTTTCTTGATTTTTCATTCCATGTTTCTCATTGAAACTCACAGAGTAAAAAAAATATATACAAAGTGATGTACAAAAATTATTGTACAATAACAATGAAACCTGTAAAGTGGAACACGTAGAAGTTGTAGTACACCCACTAGTAGACGACTTTTCACTAAATTAGTTAATGTTAAATGAACCTCTATGATTGGAACACCTCCCAAGTGGAACACTTTTTTTAGAAGTTACAAAGGTGTTCCGCTTAGACAGGTTTTACTGTAACTACGAGGGGTGATCAATAAGTAATGGACGCTTTTTTACACAGATACCTTTTATAGACCAATCCCTTTGATTTTCCTACCAGTGATACATCATTCAATTATCTATCAATTCTGAAGATTTGAAGACAAAACATATAATACATATTGATATATCCTTATTTCCGTGAAGGAGGTACAGGTACCCCGGGACCGACATTTACGTCACATATTCAGTTTTTAGCCAGTTTGGTAAATTTCAGTTAGATTTGAACTTTTTATATGCAACAAGTGTTGTGTTGTTTGAAATTTCTTGCTGACTGGTAACACATAAACAGAAAGTATTGTGATGTCAGAGTGTTGTATGGAAGGGGTTTGCAGGTCAATTTGAGAAAGCATTGTGGAAGAAAGGGGTGGTGAGAGAAGGGAACACCCTACTCCATATGGACAATGCACCTGCCGACAGATCTCAAAATGTTCAGAAAACAATATCTCTGGGCCTTAAAATTGAGCCCTTGGCCGATGTACCATATTGTCCAGATCTGCTCACATGTGACTTGTTTATTTCTATACTACTTATTTCTATAGAGAAAGGACGCAGGATTATTGACATTGATGAAATAAAACAACCCGTGCAACTGCGTCTTGCTACTATGTCAGAGAATGGATTCAGCCTTGTCTCACAATCTTGAGTTGAGAGGATGAGGAATTGTGTACATGTAGCACTTGATGGAACCTATTTAGAGGGCCCTGTGGAATGAATGTGGCATGAATACCACATAGTGATGATAAAATAATCTAAATCAACTATGGCAAAACAAAATGGGGGTAATTCATGACCATAATGGTTTGTTTTGTTCAGCCTGCATTCAACTGCATTGCATGTTAAACAAGCTAAAACAGCTTCAGAATATGTGACGTAAATGTCGGTCCCGGGGAACCTGTACCTCCTTCACGGAAATAAGGATATATCAACATGTTTTATATATTTTGTCTTCAAATCTTCAGAGTTGATAGATAATTGAATGATGTATCACTGGTGAGAAAATGGAAGGGATTGGTCTATAAAAAGCATCTGTGTAAAAAAGCGTCCATTACTTATTGATCACCCCTCGTATATGGTAAATTCAGGTTCATGTATTTATTAGTTGCTCTAATCTACACACTTTTATAAAACACATTTTATATTTAAAAGCTTCCAGGATACCATTTCATATTGCCCCACATGACCAAATGATGTTGCTGCTATATTTTGACCAATCATAAAACATTAACTTATTTTAGGTCTCATTAGATAAATATTTTCCCTATATTATGTGAAAGTTTCATTGAGAAGCATAGAAAAGTAATAAATGAGAGGTTTTTGCATGACCTTGTTGAATGACTTTCACCTAATATTATAGGTATCAATATTTGATATACAGTATACTTGACTTGTCTGTCTAGCTTATTTACTTTTTTAAAGATGACATTACGATTAGATAGTAAACAGTTGGGGAGTCGTCTTGAACTCTAGTAGACACTTTATTCAATATTTGTTCTTTCTTCTTGTTGATAAAGTTTACTTTAACTACTTGATTAATATTCTTAAAATATGTACAGATGTCTTATGATCGAGATCAGATCTTTTGGGGTGGCCATATTGGATTCTATTGGATCTTAATTATGCCATTACTTCCAGTTATATGATAACTCCAGTCTTAAAAGTTTTACAACTTGGAATATTCTTTGGTGACAACCACTGAATTTTGATTGCCTCTCCTTTCATCACTTAAGTTGTTAGGATAACTACATATTGTTAACATCCTTAGTCTTATGCGACAAAATATACTCTATTCTACATACCTATCAAGCTGGATGGTGCAGACTGTGATTGATGCCCTTGTCAAATAGGCCCGAATTGAGCTTCTTTCACTGGAATTGTCATCGGAGGAAATTAATTGTGATACTCACGAATCATTGTGAGTCATGAGACTGTGTCATGTCATGAGGCATTCTCACTGTCTGAAATCATAATTAGACATAATAAGAGAATTTGAGAATTTTCAACATAAATTTTAATTCTACTTGTACTAATATGTACATATATGTTCATAAGTATAAATATGTGAATAAGTTACGTATTGAAATCATGTTTTGATATAAGGATGAAATTACTAATAATACTTTTGTCAGGTTTGACCTAATACAGAATACACGTTTTAGAAACGTATGGATATGGTATTGATGCATTCATCGTTCTCCTAAAACTTTTATATTACTAGGAAGCATTCTTAGGACTTGCCAGAGAAGTATATTGTATATAGGTCATATGTCAACTTCAAGGGTCAAAACAAATTTATTTTAAGTTTCTAAACGTTTGGCCTTATACTTGGCTGTTTCTTGCAATGAATTAAATTGTGATTTCCTCTCCAAAGTCCAGGTATGTCTCAGATTCCTTCAATAGTCCAGATATTTTAGTCATTTACAAATATCCAAAAGACCATATCTGACCTCAGGTTTCAGATCTGACCTCTCATTGACCTTCAGTGTCCTTTGAAAGATTTTTCAAATCATTTTTGGAGTCAAACATCAAGGTCATCGGGCAAATCTTTGATAAGTTTTTAAGAAAACAAATAAATATCCACCAAAACACGCTACTAATGCAAGAATATAATATAGCCTTACCTTAGCATGTTAGAAAGGTGTTGAAGGTGTAGTTTTGGAATGTCCCCCCGCTACACTGCTTGTTATATGTGATTTGATTATATAACACATAATTTGCTGACAGACTTTATATTGTGAATTGATATTTTGAACTTAAAGATGTATTCTGTCCAACATTTTTTATATGTTTTTACAATATACGATACATTAAAGCACCATTTGACTGAAATGTGACTGCAATGTTTCAATATAGTAATATAAATAAGGATTTCTTTGAATTATGGTGAAGTGAATTTTCTCATGGTAATCCAACTATGTTCATAAGACCTTTACGATTCAGTCTTATTTTGGCCATTTTGTCCTACATATCTGACATATCTAAGTACATTATTTTGAGAAAGGATGTATCTTTAAAGAACATGTTTACCATAATGACATTTTTATTGCTTTATACTTAGCTAGAAATTGTTACTTGTATTTGGTTTGAGTAGTTGCTGCCAAGTTGAAAAAAATTTCAAATATTATTTTATAGATAACCTTATTTGAAACTCTCAGAAATTAAAACCAGAAAACTGCAACTCCACGGAGTAGCAAATCCCAACGAACACTATAACATAGAATCTGTATTTCTCACAAAAAAATAAAAATATTGGAAACATTAGAGATATATCAGAATTTCTACCAATTTTAAAAAAGCATTTGGGTGACCATTTAAAGATGTTAATTTAAGAGAAAAAAAGGCTCCAAAACTTAATGAAATATGTAGTTTGGATGTTCATTTATGTCTGTGGATTATATTTTATACCACAAACACTTTATAAATACCTGAAATTTGCAATAAAAGTGCCCAAAAATTGTTGTTTCGAAATTCCCCATTTTTCCTGTATCGCGCTAGTCACGTGACCATTATGCGTAGCAGGCAATGTACAGATATTACAGTACATATAATATGTTCAATATGGCAAACATCAGCGATTCTGATTCCCGGGTTCTGGGAAATGGCTATATAAATCGGCGAAAGGGTGTAATTTGAATGAAGACAATTTAAGGAGGGGAAATGTGTGCAAGTATGGCAGTAAGAGAGCAGATATGGGGACTTTAGACAAGAACTATGACGGAGAATCAACTAAAAATGTGAGTTCTGGAATGAAGACCCGTTGCCATTGACTGAAGATTCCAGCGATCCTATTATCATACTCAGTTTGAATCTAGACGCGGAAAACAGATTATGAAAACAGGTTTTCTGCAAAGTTATCAAATTTAGAAAATATGGATCTTGTTTTTGAGTGGCTTCACAAGCATTTAGATACAAGACTTGGCGCTATCTCTTGTCAAATACATGCACTGGACTTGCAGTAAATTGGCCATTGCAAATTGCAAAATCAGATCGTCAAATTAATCGCTTCGTTTTTAAACCTACGCTTCATATCTTCTTCCAAAACTTTAGGATTCGATAGAGATAAGTTATAACTTGTACTGGAAAAAATGGCAGATCCTACCTTAATTTAGAATCGCTGATTTCTCTGGACAAATTCCGAGAAGAAATTGTTCAACATCGCGATCACCTCAGACAACATGTCGCGTGCGTGTCACTCTGAACTCATGTGATAAAATACGGCATCTTGATTGGTTACTACTCGTGTTGTCATGACGCGAAAAGCAGTAGTAAACACTGAATATGTTAATGAACTGCCATATATGGAACAATTGTCTTTCTGATTGGTTAACTTTACACGCGTCCTAAATGAATATAGTAGTCGTAGTAAAT